GGGGGGGGGGGGGCGGAGGCTTTGGCTCCCCACAGCCCTTTGGACTCCAGGCCTGGGATCTGTGCGGCTCTGCTAGGATGCTCTGGGGTGGCGACTCGCTGGCCTATCACCGAGGGGGACCCCTGAGCTGTGGGCTGGGTCCAGGTGTTGGTCCGAGGCCCAGAGGCCGTGGCCGGGTGCAGGTGCCAGATCCAGTGACCTGGGATGGTTTTGCCTTGCGGAGAGGAAGCTGCTGGGTGGGGACGGGTTGCTGCTCTATGGACTGAGTTTGTTTCCCATCCACGTACCGGGGGTTGTGCTCCCAGCTGACATGGCAGCAGGCAGGGCACTGCTGGGAGGGAAGTTCACAACACTCCCCCAGTCCGCAAAGGGGTAGGGTTGCCAGGTGTCCGGTATTAAACCGGACAGGCTGTTACTTTCGCCTCCTGTCCAGTAAAAAAAAATTCAGAAAATACCCGACTTTTTAGGTGTCCGGTATTTTCTGAATTTTTTTTTACCGGACAGGAGGCAAAAATCCCGGGCTGTCCAGCTCAATTCAGAGGCAGCCTGGTGACCCTAGTGCTGACTGGGGAGCTGTCTGGCCTGGTGCAGGGAGGCAAGATGGTGGGTGGCTGCTGGGAGCCTGTTAGTGCCAAAAAGCCTCATCACGTGGTTTTTAAAAGGGCCACAGTGTATTTTTTTTTTTTTCCCCTCAACAAACTTTTTCCTGGCATCATGTTGTTGGGTGTTTTTTCTGAAACCATCAGGCAACCCGACGGGGGCCAGTGAGCTGAGGGGATGTCACCTGCATGCGTCTCCAAACCCAGTTCTGCGGTGGAACGCCGCCCGCCCTCTTCTGCCGGGCACCGCGGCTCCCTGCTGCCAAGGGGCGGGAGGCGCAGGGCTGGGATGGCTACTTTGGCTGCCTCCTTGCCTTTCGAGCCAGGTGGGGCTAGCCCCTCTGAGTAAGCCCGGAGCCCCCTCTCCTTGTGGGTCGTCCCTCGCCTAGGGCCCCTCCGCCCCCCGCTCTGCCTGTGTGAGGGGCCGGCCGGCATCAGGCGTTAGTGGGGATGCCCTAATTTCATAATCCAGTCTAAGCCCCGTAAGCTGCTGCTGTGTCTCTCGTTACATCTACAGAGCGCGTGCGGCTTGGGAGGGGCCGGGGGCTAAAGAGGCTGGATGGGGAAAATGGAAATCTGGGTGTGCCCCCCCAACTCCCCCAGGGCTCCTGCAAACCCAGATCTCCGGCGAGGTGCCCCTCGGGGGACAACCGGCCAGGCCCTGCCCTGGGCCCTGGCTGCACCGTGCTGGCCGTGGGGAGGCCAGTGCCGGGTCTGGGAGCCGGGAGCTCCTGCAGGCTCAGCATTCAGGTTCTGGTTTGCCCCGTCCTGGCCACCGGGCCAGCTGTGTGTTTCCAGGAGCTTCCCGGGTGATGGGTCCCTCTCTCTGGGCCTCGTGCACCCCACCCTCCTGGGGCGTTTGGAGCTGGCTCCCTTGCCTGAGCCCGGGTCCGACGGGGGCGGGGGAGCTGCCCTGGCTGGGGCGACTGAGCTGCAGCTCCGGCCGTGGCCCCCGCGCCGCTGCGTGCCCAGGGCGGACGCTCTGCGCTGTGTCGTCCCCCAGGCGCGGAGAGACGCCTCCTTCGCCCTCCCGGGCCAGGGCCTGCGCTACCTGGAGCACGTCTGCCTGATGCTGGAGACGATCGCCCAGCTGCAGCAGGCCAACCGGCAGCTCCAGCAGCAGCAGAAGGTGATGGCGAGTCAGCCGTGGGGCCGGCCGGAGGAGAGCGTAAGGCCCGCTGTGCGGTGGGGGGAGGCAGAGGCAGAGGTGTGGGGCTAGGAACCAGGAGGGGCACTCGGGGGCTAGGCCTTACCCGTTCCTCAAGGAAGGGAGGCTGCAGCTTGTTTTCTC